TCAGACACACCTGCTTCCACGTGGAGCCCCTCGGAAGGCTGCCCAGGAGCTGGAGTGATGTCAGCCACAGACCTGTGATCTCCTGGAGGTCTTTGGTACTTTCATGTTATGTGAATTTCGTAAGTTAAAAAGAAGTCATTTTTAAACAGAAAAAAAACCATATAAATTCCTCTAAGTACTTTTTTCAATCAGCTTTTGGTGCTTGCCTTATACATAAAACCCTTTTCCATTGCTAGATTAGATTGATACGGTTTTTATTTATTTTGACTTAACGCCAAAAACCTAGTGTCCCTTATTGCTCTGTTTGGATAATAAATAACCAGAACTCATTTTCCCACCAAGTGTTTCAACACTGAATGTTGTGGAAAACTTTTTGCCTTCTTTGTACCACATCTCACAATGCTGCTATTAAAGATGACGTAAGTGCTGAGTTTGGCCGGCTTTCATTTAGGTGAAGGTTTGTTTATAGAAAAGCCTTGAAGTTAAGATCAAGGTCTGTGACGGCACAGTTATCAGGCAGACGCCGGGGCTGGACACTTACTTGTACACTGGCTCATTCATGCAGGCTCAGATAAGGCCAGCGATTTTCTCAGCTTTCAACTTCCTCCTCCCAACTTTCACTTCTATGAACTGACTTGTTTCTTCTGGAAATGAAAAGACTAGATGGCAGCACCTGGAGCAAGCTACCCTCTCGGCAGCAGGAAAGACGTGTGCCAGGAAAAGGCACGGATCAGACGCCTTCCCCATTCTCTCCTAGCCTAGCAAATATTCACTTCAATTGTCTCAGACTTGCTTAAGCTTGACCTGCAGACTGTTCCTGTGGTTGCATGAGCACTGTTTGTGTTAATTCATATGCTGGCACTAACTGATGACAGGTGATTTATGTGCAAAGACCATGGTATTTAAATAGGAGGGAAATGAGGATATGAAGGAGGTAATGAACATGTTAAAAGTGGTAAAGTTAATGTTCTGGTGGCATCCATTAACTACCTCAGCCCTCATATAATGTTTATAAGAGTTATATGAGTTCCTGAACATTGATTTACCTAGCCAAAGGTTAAGAGCATTAAGAAGTGGGAAAAAATTGAGAAATCTGAGAAACTTTAAATCAATTACTATTTCAGTGGTGGTGGGGACTAATTGGTTGGTAGACCGAAGCTGCTGCTGCAAGGAGGAGGGCAGAGTTCCTGGAGATAACCAGACAAAAAGAAGTGCCATATAGGAAAAATCAACAAGCTGCAAACAATCTTAATATAACAACACTGGAATATGAGTTAGAATTCTGAGAACCGTACTTCAAAACACTGAGAACAAGTTACACAATCCGGCATCATGATGGAAACATTCTATTTGACATGGTCTGTCTAGGACACCATTTCGTGTGGCGTGGGCCCAGCTCCCGCTTGGAGATACACAGGACCCACATCCATGGATAGGTTCTCCTGTGGGGAATCAGGCCTGCATTGTACCTAGGCCACTTTGAGACTTCCTGTTTGCTACAGCTCCCTCACCCTGAATTGAGGCAGAAGACATTTACTGCATATCTTTAAGTTAACTTCCTAAAATCTATGCTAACCCTTCCAAGGATGAGTGTAAACAGTTCAACCACTTTTCCCTTTGCATTTGCCAATATCCTTCTTCTGTGATGTGATTATCGGCATCCTCTCCTTCGTTTTCTGTAAAAGGTGACCGCCTAGAGCAAACCTGTGCATAGTAAATGAGGACCATCATGTAATGTGCCCAGAAAAAGCAATAAAAGTCTGTCAAGGCAAGGGCTGAGGCTTTTCTCCCCTAGAGAGAAGCCGTGCCGTCCCTTTTCCTCCACAGGACTCGGTTGTCTGTATGAATTTGTCATGTCTCATGCACAATGTCACAGACCCAACAAGCAGGGGTCGGCATCAGGTCTGAATCCCCAATTCTGAGGATTGCTTATAAGAGTTACATAGGAAGAAAAAAACAAAAACAAAAGTTAGAGAGCCTATGTAAGAGTTCAGCTCAACAATGGCGTTCACACTGATGGAGCCGATTTAGCTCGCCTGCGTACTATGTGGTTTCGAATTGGAAACCCTTTCATATGGAATAAACTTCTTATTTTATTCGATACAAAAATGGATTATGAATTCAAAGGAAAACACTTTCTTGTATACTTAGTCTTTTTTATGCTGATCATTAACTCCTCACAGGAATAAATTTTTGGTAAAATGTGACTGGTTTGAAACATATCTTAGTCACATATGCTCTTATACATATTAAATGTCTTATACTCAAGTTAAAAAGAGAGCAGTGAGAGAGAATATAAACAATTATTTTTCTTTTTTTTTAGACACTTGATAATGAAGATGAAATGATCCGATAGGGAGGACGTTGGCAGGAAGGAGACCCCTGAGTAGGTTTGGGGCTGAATCCACGCATCTGTTAGGGGACAGGTGGGAGGGGCAGGAGCCATTAGCCAGGTTGCAGGGGTAGAGAGTCAGGCAGGCTGGCAGATTTGGAGTCAAGAGTGTGTGCATTTTATTTTTCTCAGTAAAAAGGTAGAAAAGGCTGTCAGTCGAGAGTTAGTAAATAAAAGAAAGTGAGGTGTGAGGAGAAAGAAGATGTGAAAGTATCCCTTCAGAGACATCACTGAGGGTCCCACTTGAAGAAAATGGCCTTGAATTTGAAAAGAGATTGGTTCAGATGCCAGGGTAATGGTGTAAAGTAGGCAGAAAATTGGATTTCATCAAGGGTGTGCATTTTCAGGCAAGTACATGGAAAGAGAGAGAGAGAAAAGGGTATTGGATTCATCTTCCAGGACTGATTTTAATGGACTTGTGGAAATTAAACCAGGCATGGGCTGGATGAACAGTGAAAAATTGGGGGTGAGGTCAATGGCTCGGAGGTCCTGGTGGCATCAAATAATTTTTGGAGAGAGTTCCAGTGGCAGTGGGGTGAAAGGAGGGTACAGGGGTCGGGGACCAGTAAGCCTGAAACTCTGATTTTCAGAAGGTGAAGTTATGGGTGATGGCAGTTTGAGGGGGTAGCCCTGGAGTGAGTGACTGAGACGGGGTTGAGAAAAGGTGACTGGATATGAACAAGGCAAGAAACCGACTGAGAGACAAAGAGGCTGGGGGGACTGTTTGCCTAAATATTGAAATCAACTAAAATTTATGTCTGAACTATGGAGAGAGAGAGAGAGAGAGATGGGGGATGCGTGCGGAGAGGGAGAGGGGAGAAGAGAAGGAAGAGATGGGAACAGTGGGCTATATTCTAAACTTCTCAAAGGGCAGGAGTGATTGTGGGGAATGCACCACAGGAAGGGCAGACGGTGGTAAGGCTCTGATGCCGTGTACAGTTAAAATTAGCCTCTGAAGAGATGTGTGAATGAAAATGTTGTTGAGATTCATTAATATCTGCCAGAAAAGAGGTTACATCCGATGCAGCTAGTTTGTATTAAATAAAAGAAAACACACCGAAATGATTTTATGTACTTAGCAATGAAACTAGAAAGCAGATATTTATCATGACTATAAACGTTATTCTTAATGTTATAGAATTCATAAGAAATGTCCCAATTCGGGACGTCGTTGGTTACCTTCTAACTTGAGAACTGTGCGAGGATTAAGTGAGAATACGGACCAGGTGTTTGGGAGGGGACCTGACCGGCAGCACGCACCTGACGAAGGGTCACGAAGGAGGAAAACGGAGCGTGACTTTCTATGAAGGAGAAATTCCGAGTCAGCTTCGCCCCCTTTTTATACATTGTCCTAAATCAAAATACAACCTTTCTATCAAAGATTCTTTTATATACACCACTACCTTGGCGTATACTGGTTTTTCCTAATTTGCACTCCCTAATTTTTTTTTAACATTTCTGAGAAGAGACTTTTGTTAAAAAATATAAACTGTGCTTTTATAAGTACTTGGGGAGAGATTGCTAATTGATGTTGGGACAACTGGCTAGCAGCATTTTTATAATTATGGGTACATGTTAATATGCCCAATGCAAAAACAAATGAGTAAACCTTAAACAAGGTTTTTACTTTTTAACACTGCTCCTCTGCTCAGATGCTCCATCCCTCATTCCCTGTGCTACTTTTTACTGCTGTACTTAACACCATCTAATATTTTTTAAACTTTTCTTTCTTTCTTGTTTATTGTCTGACTCTTCCCCTCCCCCACTGGAACCTAAACCTCACAAGAGCATGACTTGGTTTTTGTACTAAACTGTAACCCCAGTGCTGGGAACAGTGTAAATCAAGACTCCATAAATACACGGTCAGTGGACAAAAATACCCATGTACGTATGTATGTGGGGGTGTGCACACTCGAGCGTGTGTACACAGGGATGTATGAATGGAGCATCCTTTATCTTCATGCTATTTCTCTACAAGAAATCCCTTGAAAAGCCTCAATTGAAAAAGGAGGAGAACGACTAACTTTTAAGCACTTCAAGTTTTGCCTGGGGCCAACCCTACTAAAGAGAAAAAATTTACCTTACTTTCAGGTTAATTTTTACGTTGAATTTTACAATAGTTCAATGTTGATAGTCATGAGTTTAATTGAGCTAAATGGTGATAACTTTAACTGAGCTATCCACATAGCTCAGGGAAGAGAAAAACATGTATTGTTCTTGCCTGAATCCTTGATCGTCTTCGAATCACACTAAATGCTTTATTCCTAAACTGCTGAAAACCTGATGTTCACATGTTGTTAGCAGTTCTGCGGGAATCCAGGAAAGAACACATAGAAATTTCAAAGTGTCAAAGATGTGAATTTCCTTTTCCCTCCTGTTTTAAAACCCAGTTTCCTTGGCCAGAAGGACAGACTCTGGGTGTCCCTCTGCGGACACAGAAAGTGTGAGGCTGAGGATGCCTCTGGCCCCGCAAACCCGGACCCAGGGAAGAGGGCCCCGGCCCCACCCAGGGTGCAGCCCGTGCTGCCACTGACAGACTCGGGTGCTTTGATTTCATGAACTTGGTGGTCCTATTTAGGATGGGGGTGGGGTTCAAAGTTGCCTTTACCTGTTTATCCCTCAAGGGCTGGACCACTTCCTTAATGCACAGCTCTAGATCTTTGAGATAGTCCTTCTCCGTCTGTATCAGCTCCTTGATGATTTTCGACCGCTTCGCCATCATTCTGCGCGCCTGGTGCTCCTCCTCCTGTGTTGGGGTCTCAGCCGCAGGACACCCGGCCTGTGGAGTCATCTTTTCTGTGAAGTGAAAACATGTACCTGTGAGTACACGGCGTTCTACAGTACTCCAGAGGACGGGGCATTCTGCTGAGGCTGTTCTTTCCTTACACACAGGCCCCGGCAGGGTTACTGTGTGCGAGGGGAGATGCTCACAGTGCTGTCGAGGTGTGTTCTGAGGACTCGAGGACGTGTCCAACTTCCCCCTGAAGTTGGAATCCTATGAAAATACGAGTGTGAAGGGACTCAAGAATGAACTACTTTGAACAAGTCAGTTAGACGATATTGGACTGTCACGCTTTGTCTTTGAAATATCTCATTGTTACAGTTTTAGGGGTTAAACCGATCTTCAAGCTAGAGGTAAAAGGTATAAAAACACAGTTCACAACTTTTTCCAGATACAATTACTTTTTAAAAATTAAAAATATATATATTGTTGACATACGATATTATATTATTTTCAGGTAAACAACATAGTCACTAGATGTTAATATACTTCACAAAGTGATGCCACAGTAGGTCTAGTAATCATATTACCATATAGTTATTACAATATTATTATCTATATTCCCTGTGCTGTACATTACACCTCTGTGACTTATTGTACAATCGGCAGTTCACACTTCTCAGTCCCCTTCACCTATTGCCCATCGCCAAACCCTTCCTATCTTTAAACCATCAGTTTTTCTCAGTATCATAAGTATCTATGAGTTTGCTTCTTCATTTTGTTATTTGATTTGTACATTCCACATATAAGTGAAATCACATGGTATTTGTATTTCTCTGTCTAATTTATTTTACTTAGCATAATACCTTCTAGGTCCATCCATATTAACACAAATGGCAAGATTTCATTTCATTCTTTTCTATGGCTGAATAATAGCATGGCTGAAATTATATATATATGTATATATATATAATCATTTTTACCCATTCATCTATCAGTGGACACCTAGATTGCTTCTATAGCTTGGTTGTGGTAAATAATGCTGCCATAAACCTAGGGGTGCATGCATCTTTTCATATTAGTGTTTTCTATTTCTTTGGATAAATAGCTAGAAGTGGGGTTGCTGTGTCAGATGGTAGTTCTATTTTTGATTTTTGTAGAGACCGACATATTGTTCTTCACAGTGGCTGCACCAGTTCAAGATCCTACCCACAGTACACCAGGGTTCTTTTTTCTCCACATCCTCACCAACACTTATTCTTTGTTGTTTTTTGATAATAGTAATTCTGACAGGTGTGAGGTCATATGTGTTTGTGGCTTTGACATGCATTTCCCTCAGTGGTGTTGAGCATCTTTTCATGTGTCTGTTGACCATCCATATGTCCTCTTTGGAGAAATGTCTATTTAAGTCTTTGGCCAATTTTTAAACCATACTGTTTGCATTTTTGGTATTGAGTTGTATGAATTCTTAACATACTTTGGATTTTAACCCCTTATCAGATATATCACTTGCAAATTTCTTCTGCCATTCAGTAGGTTGCCTTGTTATTTTGTTGATGGTTTCCATCATGGCGTAGAAGCTTTTGAGTGTGACACAGTCTGATTTGTTTATTTTTGCTTTCCTTGTCTGTGCCCTAGGCGACATACCTAAAAAATGTTGGAAAACTGATGTCGATGAGTTTACTGCCTATGTTTTCTTCGAGAAGTTTTATGATTTCAGGTCTTACGTTTAAGTCTTTAACCCATTTTGAGTTTATTTTTGTATGTGGTGTGAGAAAAAGGTCTAGTTTCATTTTTTTTGTGTGTGGATCTTGAAGACACACAAGAGCATTTGCTTTTAAAATGTAGGGAGAATTTTTAATTAGTAAGTAGAAAGAACACCTTCCAAATTTGTTTGATCCCGTTATTAAAATTAATTGTTCCCCATTGAAGTGATAATATGCAAACCTCCCCAAAATGGAAAACAATTGCAAATGATTGGGATCTGTCTTTCAAATCACAATCAGAACCCATGAAAAGTGAAGTAGGAATGGATTAAGTAAATATCAGCTAAGGTTTTTTTGTATGCGTTATCTTTACTACTATGTATATCTTGTTAACTCAAAATTCTTGAAATGCCAAACAGAAAATTTTAATTAAGAAATACTGATGCTGAAGAGAAGTTAAGATAAATGAGAAGCCTCATGGGCAGCCAAGGGTTTATGTAAAGTATACCATAAGAAGGCTAAATAGTTTCAAGGATGAGCTTCCTACAGCAACATAAAATGTTGGGAGCCACAAACTAGGTCACAAATGAAGTTAGAACAGTGACAGAGAGCAGGGCAGTATGTGCGTGTGTAAATAAATTTGCTTTAAACTCAAGGTCATCGCAAACTTAATTGTTATCTGAGACTCTGCAGTTGCAGATATAATTTCATTTCCTTTAAAGCTAATGTGATTTTAGTAACTGATATGTTAGACATCTTCGGTGCTGACACCACTTCCTGAGAGTGTAGAGCTTTACAAAAGGGTTTATAAAGACTGTAAGAAGAAAAAGTGCACAGGTCACAATGTATGGGAGAAAGGATATTCTCTTAGCTCTCTCCAGAAACAAAAGCTAAGAAAATTGGAGAAACTTTACAGTAGAGGAGTTAATGGTTCTGTGTGCAAGGACTGTGCCAAGAATGTGAAGAGACATTGCAAAAGCAAAATGAGTAGTGAGTACTACTCTTTGTCTGGCCTACTAATGTCCAGAGGCTCAGTAATCAAACACAAGTGGAGAATACCATGAAGGTCATTCCAGTGTTACTTGGGAAGTGTACTAGTTGATCTTTGGACAATCCTGATGTGCAAGTAAGCACATTTCTGGACCATTTGCCTGTAGTTACCCTTTCTCTATCAGGAAAGAAAAATGGCTTTGACAGGTACTATCTGAAAGCACATACTTTTACAAGATGTGGGCCATTTGGTGCCAGAGAAGTAATCTACTGGAATTATAAAAGAAAAGAGGATCAATATAAAGAAAAAATGAATGCATAAAATGTTCTCCAGCCTGCATATCTTAATTTATGTTATGCTTGCTTTCCGATGCTTCTAATTTATAGTATTTTTATTGGAGAGTAGAAGAAGTCTGCCTATCAGCACCCTAAATGTGAAAGTAAGAGTTACCACCAGCTGTCATTATTATGAGTTATTTTGGATATAAAAGAGGAAGGCAGGTCACTGGTGAGGGGTCATGAAGTGAGCAGGCTGTATACAGCACAGGACCTCCTCCCTGAGCCTTCTTTCATCTGTTTCTTCTAAAAGGGTGAGGGCTGGATGGCAGAGCTCAGAGGAGTGACTTTTTAAAATTTATTTTTTTCTCTTGGGATATGTGAAGTAGCTCATACATACACACAAAAACACCTCATTAATATGGAGTTGACAAACCAGTGTGCATGGTATTCAATTATTAGTTAACATTACCTTGACAATAAAAGGGATGCAATTGAAATACTGTCCAGACTGATGTGTATTTTTCCAAGTTCTAATCTTTGTGCCTTCTAAAATGTATCTATTAATGATCTGGGGGGCTATCAATCAGAAGTGTGTCCCCCTGATCTTTGGGGAGGAAATACTCCTACGATTTCAGGTTTCTTTAGTTCTAAATATAAGACTCAATTACTATTTCAAATTAATTTATTTCACAGATTTCCCCTTGCTACACTTTAAAATGTACCACATCACATTTTATCAACTAAAATTTGCTTAGGTTTTCTAATGCTGCTCAAGAACTTGTTTAGCTACAATGGGGGCAGTGGTAGCTGAAATAAAGTGTTGGTCATGGTATTCAACTTCAGAAACTTTTCCCCTCAGGGATGAACACAGTTTCAGAGAATTTACAGTTGAGCAAACAAAATATTTTTGTTCTTTTGACTTCCGTTCATTGCAGGAACAAAGGCTTGACTTGCATCATTTTATGGTCAGGTCTGTAAATACTCCCTATGGTGGCACTTCTTAAACCAACAAACTTTGCAATGCATTGTGGGTACAAGTTTTGTTTTTAGAAGATCTTCTCTACCTTTAAAACTTTTACCTTTTAGTTATACTATGACTTTAATTAATATCTGAGTATTACCAACCTGTACCACTCAACTCTGTCCCTCTGCTGAGTCCTCCCATGCAGCCATGTTGTCATTTTTGTGTGAGTGTCAAGCTCTCCCCTCACCAGCCAGATCTGAAGCTACATTAGCCTGGAGATCTGTCCTGACTCCACCCTGATGACTCTCTGAGGCCCTCACCTCCCAATGCACCCATGCCCTGAGGCTCTTTCTTTTTGTGGCAACCAGCCTGGGCTCCCATATTGCAGTTTTTCTTAAAACAAAACAAAACACCTCTGGTCAAACTCAGTGTGTACCAGAGACATACAGTGATAAACTGAATTGTGTGGCTTCAGGGTGAGAGCTAAAGGGACAGTGCCATTTTCTGTGTTCAGCCCTCCCCCAACAGAGCCAAATCTGATTCTGCATTAGCATGATGTACTCCATTATCTCCATCCTGTTGACTCCCTCAGACCTAGCCTCACCCAACTCACGTTCTGCCCAAAGCTCTTTCAGTGGCTGAGCCTAATGGACAGCTGGCAGGCAGCAGAAAGTCTCAGAGTGCCTTGAATCTTTTGCTAACCTTCCCCAGGCTTGAAACTGGTGGCGGCTGGCCTCAGCTCTTAGCATGGCCCATCCCATGCACATCGAAGCTGAGCACTGGCAGCTCACCAACTGCAGATCACTTTGTATCTCCTAGCAGGTAGCCCTGGGCCAGTCTCAGGCAGCTCGGACATTCATCTGCACCTGACTCTGTTCTAAGAGGGCCCAGAACTAACACACCCAATGGCAAGCATCATAGGACAACAGAATATCACCCAAGTAGCTCCACAAGCAGCATACCTAAAGGGGCGTCTTGGTAGGCAACAGATTTTGCTTGAGCTAATCCTGCTCCATTGGGGCAGCCCCCACATTGCAGTTCCTACGATGTGGTCATAGCAAATCCTCACAATCAACATGATAATTGATCCCACCCACTGACATGCCAACAGCAATCAAAGCACAGTCACAACAGG